ATCATAGTGTCTTTTCCATTAAAAGTAACAACTGAGCTAAAATACCCATGCAACTTAAAAATAATAGAACATCTTTTAACTAACGTATTCTTCATATGATGAGGTGTATGGACTTAATGCTGCTATGAAAATAGTTTATCTCTATTTTATTAAACCGTATAGGGTATACATCGGTTATTTGTAAGGTTCAGATAACGCAGAGCAATATAAACCAATGGAAGATATTGTCAGAAGTCTACTGGCTGTATGCGGAATTAAGTTTAGCAATTCACTATCCTGCATCGAATCATTAATTAGAGAGAGATAACTAGAATTTGGAAAAATACTTCTATGCGTTAGCAAATTAATTACCCATGTTGATTATTTCTAGTTTGAGCCAAGTGGATGAATAAGCGAGTTGATATATTTCGCATATTGTTTATGTGAGTAATTATATTATTACTTCCTATTTAAATAATCCTAATATTTTACCGCAGATGAATCGATTAATTGGCAATTATATAGTATTTAATGGCTACGAAGTATAGAATACACTGATTTAATTGATAAACAAATTAGAGGAACACTGAAATGACTTCACCTTTATAAAAAAATGACTTTAAGTGTAACAATAATAAATATTGTGCAACAGATTTGCGCATTTTCTCAATTAATTCAAATTTCTTACTACATATTCCGAAAAACGGAAAAAGAAGTCTAATAATGGAGAGGAAGACTAACCACATTTCCTTAATCAATGCCTTTGGTCCAAGAACAATAAGTATCCAATGATACCTTGTATAACCATAAGGCAAATGTACTCTTCGTGAAATAACAAGGAAGAGTCAAACGGCATTCTGGTTTTGCTATTATATAAATATAATTTGCAGCCGCTTTATATAATCTCTCAATTTATTTTGACTTCTCATAAAATAGAATAATATATCTCAACAATAGATACCGCTTGAGAAATCAAATCAAACTGCACCTAAATGAAAGACATAGAGATTCAGGACCAAAACTTAGGTCTTTTTCGAAACAATTTATATGGAGTTCAATATAAAATTCTTCGTCAGGAGACGCGTGAGGCTCAGGTAACTATTACACCTTTAATAGATACTTTATTAGCGAAATGTTTAATACCATTAGATGTTACATACGAAACATCAACACATACTCTTCCGCACAGATTCTGACTTACAAAGTTAGTTCTCCTCATTTAATATCGATCAAATTATATCAGAAAAGAACGCTTATATTGAAAACAGTTTATATCAATTACTTTCTAATTGATCATTTGAAAGCTTAGATTTTAGCTACAGAACAATAAATTATTTTAATTATAATTTCAATTAGTATCAGTTCAGTTTAACTCAGGACAAGTTCCACCAGTTCAGTTGAAGTAAATCATTATTACTTATCCCCTTTTTTATATAATTATCCAGTAAATTGCCCCCTTATATAGGATTACATAAACAGTTTCAACAAAATTACTTAAACCATATTAGCAACTTGATATTTGTTATCAAATCCAAAATGCCACTCATACACACAGGCACTTTTCAAACAGGCCCCCTGGAACACTTGTTCTATACAAAATAATCATAAACGTGAACCACACTCAGGCACTTTTCAATCGGCCCCCTGGAACACTACTTCTTCTATACCCTCAACAAATAGGGATTTTCCTCAATTTAGACATTGCCTATGCTCAGCACTCAATTAGCATTTAGACACGCCACATACAAAATTATTGGCTCAATGCAACATTCAAATTTAAACCAAATTCGACACTAATAATCATATTCGAAAGTACGATCAGAAATCCCCCCACCTATTTCTACTTCTTCATGAAAGAGGAGCACCTCCCATATAGACCAATGTATCCTTTACCAGTATAGTAACTTGAATCACATCCTCGCGATAGTATCATCTATATATAGCACTAACTTATTATCAATTCTTTTTAATCCAAGTTCAATAAGGATCGACATTGAAAAATAAAAAGTGTACGAGCAGGATCACAAACATACAAAGAAAGAAAAGTATGAACCACTTAAAAGACACCAACAAACCTTCTGGAACATTTACTCAAAACCCTCACAATTAGGGACTTTTCTCATATTTCAAACATCTCGATATTCAATAGACGTTCAATGATTCACTAGGGTTATTCTCCACTAAACACGGACTCATTCAACGACACAAAAAATCATTTACTGAACTACTTCGGGGATCACTACTACTTAACACATTTAATGGAATACAAAAACCTGCGCATCTTAACTCATAAATGGACACATAAGGACTTCTTTTCTCATTACACAAGGATTTGAGAAATTTCTGCATGTTCATTGACTCATATTGCATACGCGCACAATTGACAATCTCAAGTTGATCATGTAGAGCATGTGGAGCATTTCCACTGGTTAATCACTCCACTCTCAATCAGCAGAGATAATTTTTCAAATACCCATCTAACTCCAGGATTACCGCAGTCAAATCATCATGCTCGGAACTTGACTGAATCCGGTTAGTCTTGCATTTACCAACATCCTTTTAGAAAATAAATATCAGTAGGTATCATGTTTCTATCCCAAGACAAGAAGATAAATACATTCCATATATTACTCGAATAATAAACTCACTTCACTATCCATGTAAATTCCTTTTCCTTTATATTTGTAATACAACACACATTCGATCATTAGTATACCATAATACGCTCTCAATAGTAATTTGTTCATGTTAATTTCAATCATTCATTATGATTTAGTTTCAGTTCAACAGGCTTCAGTTACGGTTTCAAGTACTAACTAATAATATCTGAGTCATATCAATACAATTTTAACTTTACCCTGAATGAACGTAAGCATGTAACAAACAAAAGATGGATAAATCCTCCAGCAACATACGAGGAGCTTGAACCAAATTATTTAAGACTTTCAGGTGGTTTTCAGTTTGTACTTCACAACAGACATATAATAAATAAGCAATCCTCCAACAGCACGAAGAGCCTGAATCAGCATACTCAGGACTTTCATTCTTTCACAATATCAAAAACACCACCGTCAACAAAACACATACCGATGTCCTACAAAGACATCCAATAGAGCGGCAATAGGTCGACGATTCTCAGCAAAAATTGGAATAGCAACGAAGGATTAGACCATGAGCTGGGTAAACACAAACCACAAATCAAGCTGGTCAATTCCTTCACACCGACTTATGTAAAAGCATCATATTCACCAATACATTATTAGTAAGAACTAATGTCTAGTTCTAAAGGCACATATTCAAGTAAACTTTCGTCTAACAACAACCAGTAACCCAATTCGTAATCTGAATAGCCAATTAGCAACATCATTCATGAACAGGGACACACAACGAGTGGCTCATAACCTATTGAAAGTAGTTTTCACCATCATTACTTTCTTCATAGTAATTGAACATGAGTTATTATAGTCTAGATTTCAGCTACATTATAATCAATTAAATCATGATAATCTCAATTACTAACAGTTCAGTTGGTTACAGTGGCATTCATTCAGTCAATATCACCTAATTAACTTAGGACAAATTCCAATCAGTTCAGTTGAAGTAAATCATTATTACTTAACCCCTATATAAAATTTATATAAAATATCCAGTGAAGTTACACCCCTTACAATATTAGGATTACATAAACAGGTTTGCACAATAGTTAATTACTTAAACCAGTAATAGCATATCAATAAACAGAAATATTCTGAGGAACGAATTCTACAGAATTTTTTCTTTCGCAACCAGCTTGCATTTACTGAAGTTTAATATTCTATTTTAATCTACACAGAAAGCGGTTTTATGTTTCCTTTGTTATTGTGATAATGAATAGTTGTATTACAATCGTTCTAGTGTATAATAAACTAAAAATTGAATAATAAACATGATAGCAAGTCTCTTGTTCTATTGAATCTGACTACCCGTTGGTTGCCAAAGATGAAACGAAGGGAATAGTAATCCCTATTCTTGTAATTGTTAGAACGAAATCCTTGGACCTCATGAAATACAGAAATTATATAGAGATTAAGTAAATTATATATTATAATTACAAGATTGAACCTGAAGCTGACAGACACTGACAATGTATGCTACTTTTGAGAAATTACAACAGCATTCCCCTCAAATTCACACACTGAAAATTTAAAGCTCCAGCAGAATATTTTACAACTTATATTAGGTTGGTGCTTTTGCTGAAGCAAAGCAAAATATCAACGTAAAGGTTAAATATTGAAGGGGCGTGAATCGTGTTTTGTTCCGGATATAATTCTGGAAGTCGGTTTTTGAACGAAGACAAAAAATTAAGCCAAAGTTAAAATAAGTCATGTAGTAATTAATTTAAACCACCCGGAATATAAAATGGTCTGTGTTCCATTATAATGATATTTCAGAACGAATCCTTTCAATATTTTGCGTGACTTTTAAAAAGTACTGGTGACTTTCCCATCATTCAAGACAATGAAGACTATCAAATTCTTATTCATAATTAACGATGAGTACATATATCTTATGCTAAAAATTAACAGCATTTGGTGTTATCTAAGTTTACAAGGTTAAAATGTCTAATGCAGTATTTCACGATAACTAGGCAAGTAAACATAATTATATACCCTGGAGATGAGATATATGAGAAATAGTATAATTGTATATTAAATACAATTAATTAATTATCTAAATAGATACTAGACTTACGGGAGGTTTTATCTCAAGCTCATGAACCACTGAATCGCGCCAAAGTAACTCAATAGCTTGAATTGGTGTAATGAAATTTTTTCTATACAAATAGTACGTAGTGTAGTGTAATAGTTAGGAGTGATTCAATGCTGTTCATCTACATCAATGATAGAAATAATGAATAACGAAATTTAAGCGAACCATTAAGATATTTACATGAGCACAAATTGACATATTTTAAAGGTATTAGTTTCAAGAAAACTGCGTGATAACGATAATGAACTTAAATATATATGTACAAGAATATTTTATATTAATCCAATATTATTGGAAGATTGTGATTTATGGCCATCTTGAGATTTTAAACCTGAATAAATCAACAACCTATCCCATTGTCCCTTTTTATGTAACATTGCCAAAATCAAAACGGCTGGCAAATGCCATACCGATCCCCAAAATAACTTCTTAGCGTGAATATTAGCCATCGCTATTCCATTAGCAGTTGGCTTTTGACCAGTATAATTTTGTTTAATCTGCATCCAAAATTTATAAGCCAAGTAAGTTAACCAAGAATTGGCTATTGCTGAATCAAATTGGAAAACCCAATCAGTAATCCCAAAATAACTCAAGCCAAAGCATAATGGGAACATTAATAAGGAATATCGTAACGCAACTCTTGCATTTAACTTCGGGTTTTCAGCAGCAGTCATAACATATCCTGCACCTTTATATTGATCTGCAATATTATGAGACAACGCATTGAAATGAGGAAATTGCCAGGCATATAGCAAGCCTGCTAGACACCAAGCACCAGGGTGATCTAAAGGAGATGACGCTGCCCAACCCATCAAGGGTGGGATCGCACCAACGATGGCACCTACCCAAGTATTGATAATAGATTTTCTTTTCAATGATGTATAAATCCAAGAATACAACACAATATTTAGAAAGCCTAGAAAGGAAACTGTAGGATTCACACCAAGAAATAACATAGTACATCCTAAGGAGCCAGTGATCCCAGCAAATTGATAGGCTTGTTTAGGACTTATCAATCCGCGTACAACAGGTCTCCCCACGGTTCTGGGCATTTTTTTATCAAATTCTGGTTCTCTGCCCATATTTATAGCGTTTGCAGCTCCAGAACACAAAGCAGTACCCATAGTAAGGAACAAAAGCTCTGGTAAAGAAACTGTGTAAGGAGAAATGGCATATGAACAAATCGAACTTAGCGTCACTAAAATAGTCAAATTTGGCTTGGTCAATTTGACATATGGTTGAATTATTGAACGCAAGTTAGTCTTAGTCTTACAACTAGATGTTGCAGTTACGGGAGATGATTTATTAAGCTCTTTTGGAACAACTTTAAAGGGAATGTGTGTGCTTTCAATCTTTTTACTACTCTCTTTGTTGGTATCGATCTTCTGTGACAGTTTTGATTCTGGTTCTTGACAATTTAAAACTTTTGTAGCGACGTTTTCCAAGATTGAGCCTGAATCACTTTCTTTTAGATTGCTTGAAGTAGTCATAATATTTCTATTACTTGGTGCAGTCATAAGTTTCCGACATGTTGATGTTAAATATAGGTTCCCAATAAAATTTTGATCTAGTATTAAATTCTTTGTAGTATTCTTATAAAAAAAATTAAAATTGGAAATATAATTTAGCCTGGGAAAAGCTATAAGTTTATGAGACATAATTTCACAATAAACCAACCTATCAATTATCTTACTATAATGCAAAATGCAAAGCTCCCAAGACTGTGACTTATGAATATGATAACTTTCTACTATTAGCTATTCTAGTTTAATCGATGTACTCAATATCATTTTCCTGAAAAAAGATTTTGCGCACGACCATACATTCACATTACGATTCATACATTATTCAATACATACAATTCATACGTTATACGAATATATATTAATATATCTAGAAGCATTTACGTAGAATTACTGATTCTATTAAGTACTCATAGGTTTATCTTCAGTAGTATCTGAGGTAGGGACATCAGCCTCGTCTACTTCAAGGTTAGAATCATCTGGCTTTCTTTCATTTAGCTTTTTATTCTCCAACTTATTCTCAATTAAATCGTGGAATGCTATAATTGCCCTCACTAAAGTACTAACATATACCATCATCAATTCATCATTAGTTTTAATCGTAAAAGCAGTTGATAAAGGATTTGTAGATTGGTTAGGAACTTGACTGTCAATTATTTTGCTGGAAGTATTTATATCAGCATTAGATAAGTTAGGTAATAAGTTGAAAACATTCTGTAATTTCCCTAAGATCGTGTGGTTTATAGGCAATTTCTTTTGATAGACCTTATCTAAGTAGTTGGCAATTTCTCTTAATTTTTGATGTAACCCTAGTAAAGATTGATAACTTTGAGTCACTCTCAACGACAAATTACCAGCCGCTTGGTCTCTAATATCCCTCAACAAGTGCTCTACACCAATCTCTTCAGCTTCTTCAGCCTCGATTGAAGATGGAACGTGAACAAAAGTTCTTTCTGCCGCTGAACCATCGTTCTTTATATCATCAACCGCATAATATGCATCTGTTGGAATACCAACTTCCCTAGGTTGGACATCAACAATCAATAATAATGGATTCAGAGTGTATTTTTTGAATGCATCATTTATTTTTAAATCAGAAGGTTTCAATTTTGGTCCCGAGTGATACCAACCAATTAACTTTTCCTTAGCATTGATTTTTTTGAACATTTCTCCCATCGATTCTATGAAATTGTGGTCCAAGAACCAAACACTTGGGTTTTTTTCGTCTTCTTCAAAAGGGATGGCATATGAATTCGTAACTCTAATAGTATCCGAAGAATTATCTCCCAAAACTACACCAACTACTCTTTTCTTCGAGTCTTTGGCAACTCTATTATAATGGTCCACAACAGATAGAAGTACCAATGGTGAAACTGTTACTGTCTTATCTAAAAATGTTGATTCACTTGTAGCGGTAGGCATTGTGGCAAATTAATAAACTAGGTATACAAGCAACTTTAAGACTAATTGATACACTGAACTGTACAACAAACAAAGAAATATCTTCAACTATCTGAATACCTTAGATAAACGAATTAATTCTTGTATAATCAGTATGATATGGGAATGAATGTGAACAAATACCGGTTGCCTTCGAAGTCTGTAGATTTTCAACATAGTCGTGTGTAATACAAAATAATTTTGTTATACCAATATCAAAGCTTAGTATTATAAATGAATCATTGATAGCCGTATAATATATATAGCATGTTTGGACAAATAGTAATAGGTCCACCTGGATCAGGCAAGTCTACATATTGCTATGGAATGCAGCAGTTTATGTCGGCAATAGGTCGTAAACTGTGCATTATTAATCTTGATCCAGCTAATGATGCTTTGCCATACCCTGATTGTTCACTAGATATACGAGATTTCGTTACTTTGGAAGAACTAATGGAAGAGCTAAATTTAGGCCCAAATGGAGGCTTGATGTATGCGTTAGAGAGCTTAGATGAGAGTGGAATAGATGCATTTATAAGTAAGATTAATAAACTAGTGGAAGAGCGAAACTATCTAATATTTGATTGTCCTGGTCAAGTAGAACTTTTCACGCATCATAACTCATTATACAAGATCTTCAAGAAGTTAGTGAAGTCCAAAGATTTAAGGTTGTGTGTCGTTTCGCTAGTTGATTCTATATATCTTACCAGCCCATCGCAATACGTTTCGATCTTGCTCTTGAGCTTAAGATCTATGTTACAGTTAGATTTACCTCACGTAAATGTAATATCGAAAATTGATATGTTGAAAAGATATGGCGAATTACCGTTCAGATTGGATTATTATACCGAAGTTCAGGATTTAAAATATCTTACACCATATTTGGAAAAGGAATCGAATTCGGTGCTAGGGAAAAACTATGTAAAATTAACGGAGATGATAGGAGAATTGGTGGAAGATTTTAATTTAGTAGCATTTGAGGTGTTGGCGGTAGAAAATAAACAGTCTATGATAAACCTATTAAGTGTTATTGACAAAGCAAATGGTTATAGTATTGGTACCAGCGAGGTTGGGGCTGATTCAATTTGGAGCGAGGCAGTAAGACAAGGTACCTTGCCAGGTTATAAAGAAATAGACATACATGAAAGATGGATTGAACATAAATTCGAGTATGATGAGCAAGAGAAAAAGGAAGAACAAGAAATGACCAATCAATATGCTCAAGACTCGTCACAACAAGGATTAACAGAAGATGAAGAATTGGAGTTAGCAATAAAAGACTGGGAATCTAAAAAACAAGGGACAGGGAACACTCAGAATTAGTATATTTATTATTTACGATTTTAGTTTAGCATATATAGACCTTTTATATTTAAGCACTAATTAATTCTTTAGCAGCACTTAAATCTTCATCACCCTTATAATTTTCCACATACTCTACTAATGCTTGCTTATGCTTTTTGATTTTCTCCGAAACTTCTGGCACCATTCTTTGGGATTCTTCTAGCACTTGAATTTGCTTCTTTAATTCGTATTCATCAGCATTATTTGATTTCATTTGATTTACAAAGTGCTGTTGTTCAGCAACTTCTTGTTGGTACAATGACTCTTCCTTTATTAATCTTTTCAAGGCATTGACCTTAATCTGTAAACTACTTGGAGACATGATGCTTTACTACTAGGTGTCAACTTCGGAGTACGTAGTTTTTAAGTGATTATAAATAATAAACATACAAGAAGTCGTGTATATTGCGTAATATTTTTTTTATATCTTCACTAGATGATATAGATGATTTAGATTACTACAAGATATAGTTAGTGAAGGTTGTAAATAGCAAGATATGTCTAAGCGATTGGAGTTATATGATGATTCCATGGATGGAATTGTGGATCAAATTCAGAGAACAGCTTCTGGCCTAAACGTGAAAAGAAAATTACTCTTTAATCAGATAGATTTATATAAAGATTTGCAAGCGAAAATAGACATGAAAGCAGAAAAAACTATGGTTTTGTTAGGCGATGGATATTTCGTTGAAATGTCACCAGAGAATGCTAAAGATTATTTGAAGAGGAGAATTACAAACGTTAATGATATTGTGGAAGGATTTAATACTAAGATCAAAGATGCAGAGAATACCATGGATCACATTTCGAAATTTAGACAAATAGAGACGGAAAATGGCAAACAAGAGAGCAGAAATGATGAGGACCTTCCGTTCTTGGATATTCAAGAGGAATTAGATGATGCAGACAATATTATGAGCGTGAAAATTAATAATAAAAGCCAGACTTTCGAGAAAAGTAAAGGTAATAAAGAAGAGCTAACAGACGAAGGACTCCCCATGATGGATATACAGGAAGAACTTGATCAATATGGAAATGTTAAGAGTGTAAAAATTAACAATAAGGATCAGAAAATTGATGAGAAGGTTGAGGAAAAGGATTTAAAGCCGGAACCATTAATTGTAAAAGAACAGGATCAAAATTCCAGTAAAATTGAAGAAATTGATAACCAAGATGATGACCAGTTATCTGAGCTATTGCAAGATATGGGCCTCGTTCCGCTGAAGAAATCCAACGAAATAAATATAGATCAGGATAAATTACTAGATAAGATTGATGAATTGAAAATTAATGCAAACGATAAATTTAAGCTTAAGCAAATATGCGTGGAAGGATATAAAAATTTACAAGACCAGAATTTTGAAAAGACAGCTAATGATGATAACCAGGATATTGGAAAGACAGATGAAGAAATAATATCGAACTTGGTTGTGGAAAATAATTTACAACACTTACTAAGTTCAGATGATACAGACGAGTCCCACAAAAAAGATGCAGAAGGTAATCAACTAGCAATTGATGGGAATGAATTATTGGAACTAGAACTAATTGCGGATAAGTTTGATGACACTAATAATTCAATGATGCATGCAGATGATGAGGAGTGGGACTTTGAATTTGACGACGAAGACGAAGAGCAAGATGATGATGATGAAGAAGAGGACATTTCAGACGACTTGTTATATGGCAACAGTGGAGCCACATTTATTCCACAGCATGACTCTCATTCGGGAGCACAAAACTTCAACAATCTATTATGGAACCAAGTTATGGAGTTGAGAAATAAAAAAGCACAAGCACAAACATCTAACTCTAATTCCGCTAATAGTCGGAAAAAAAAATCTGTCAGGTTTTCAGAGCAATTGGAAATTAATGAAATTGAGAACGTCAGTGAGGAATTAAAGAAGATTGACCACTTTAGGCAGAACATTTCAAGATTCAAGCAAGACAGGCTAAGCAAATCCAATGATAATGAAATACAGGATGTTATAATGCTGCTTGAGAAATCAAAAAGCAAAAAGTTTGAAAGTCCCGTTAACGATGTAGTTGAAAGAGACCCAGTCAGTGATATAGTTGAAAGAGAACCAGTTAGCGATATCGTTGAAAGAGACGGACCAGTCAGTGATACAGTTGAAAGAAACGGACCAGTCAGTGATATAGTTGAAGGAAACGAAACAATCAGTCACATAGTTAAAAGAGAACCGGTTAGCGATATCGTTGAAAGAGGACCAATCAGTGACATAGTTGAAAAAAGAGAACCAATCAGTGACATAATTGAACGAAATGAACCAGTCAGCGATATTATTGAAACGGATCCGATCAGCGATATTGTAGAAGAACCAATTGGCAAAATCCACCTGGATGAGATGAATAAAAGTCCTGATGCACCAGACACAAAAAAGCCCAAAATATCTAAATTCAAACAGATGAAGGCGACATCAGCACCGCAGCAATCACCGAGACCTCCAATCAAGACCCATATCAAATCATTTGAGATTACCGATATTGAACAAGGAAGGACAAGAAAGGCTGCGATTGAAAAATCCATCGAAGAAACAGAAGATAATCCGATGCACATAATGGACACTACTCTCGACTACAATAACATGCAAGATGATATGGACACCATGGTCAAAGCTTATGCCTTAGGCATGTACGATGATGATATAATGACCGAAGGACCAGTTGTCCAACAATTAGACGATTTTGAGACGTTGAATAAAATTATCGAATCAATGCCCAATCGTGAAGTCTCAACTGCGAAATCGGTCGAATCTGCCAATGACAAAGCCGAAGAAATCTTCGATCCGTACTTGGATCAGGTTGGTGGTGAATATCAAGACGACGACGACGATGAAGACGACGCACCTGTATTAGGAGATATCATGGAAAATGATATTGTACCTCCGCCGGATATCGAGCAATCAATTTTGGATCAGGAAGTCACGTCCAACTACCACCGGTTGAGACAGAAATTGTTTTTCACTAACAACACGTACCAGGAAGACAATAACGAATTTGAGCCAATCGACGAACACGGAAACAATCTCAGAGTTAGCAAGTTCAAGGCATCCAAGCATACACTGAACTACACCTAGTACATATATCCGTTCCGAGATATTTTGTTCTTGTTTTGCGCATATCTACGGCTCTAAAGGTTGGTTGATTCGGCTCATTATATAATCTTGCATGTATAGTCCGGGGGAATACATCGGGGTTTAGAAATTACTTTGCTGGCCTGAATCTCGTGTGGTTAAAATAGTCCCCTCTATATGATAACGACTCCGAATAACTATAAATATATAGACATATCTATATCTCTACATCCTAAATAGACCCCTCAAGAGTACCTTAAATATCCCATATATAAGGAAATATATAATGTTCACAATATATATTGTAATCGGACATAATTTACACTACGGAGCCCAGCACTATGGTTAGTATAATATTCTAATTCCGAAATTCAATTACCGGTAGGTGAAAAAAAACGTCGTCCAGAATAATAAAAATAATAATAATAAGGAACGGTGAGTAAGAAACCGACTTTTTTTCCCATTGACAAAACGTATCCTTTTGCACGATATATATGCGAGTATATATAGGCCCCAGAATTCCATTATCTCCAAACTTTTTAAGACCAATATATATTTTGTTGAGATTAAAATTTTGTTGATTAGCAAATTTTTTGTGTGATCCGTCGGTTAAATTTTGTTGTGCATACGCAGCGACTATATATATTAATTATTTATTCTTTTTCCTATCAATTGTTAGATTTGAGCTGTTAACAAACTATAATTCACTATGTCATCCATTTTAAAGCAAAGGGTTAGATACGCCCCATATTTACAGAAATTAAGAACTGCAGATCAATGTGTTGAATTATTCAAACACGGTCAATATCTTGGTTGGTCAGGATTCACTGGTGTCGGGGCGCCAAAGGTTGTTCCAGATGCTATAGCTGACCACGTTGAAAAGAACAATTTGCAAGGAAAATTGGGATTCAACTTGTTCGTTGGTGCTTCGGCTGGACCTGAAGAAGGCAGATGGGCGGAAAACAATATGCTTTTGAGAAGATCCCCTCATCAAGTTGGTAAGCCAATTGCCAATGCCATCAACACAGGAAAGACCCAATTTTTCGACAAGCACTTGTCGATGTTCCCGCAAGATTTGACTTACGGGTTCTACACCAGAGAGAAGGAAAACGACTTGTTGGACTACACCATCATCGAGGCCACCGCCATCACTGAGGACGGGTCAATTGTCCCCGGTCCTGCTGTCGGTGCATCTCCAGAAATGATTTCAGTTTCTGACAAGATTATTATCGAAGTGAACACCATCACACCATCTTTCGAAGGTTTACATGACATTGACATGCCAGTGAACCCTCCTTTCAGAAAACCATACCCACACACAACTGTCGACTACAGAACTGGGTTAACCGCTATTCCAGTCGATCCATCTAAGGTTGTTGCCATTGTTGAATCTCAAACCAGAGATAAGGTTCCACCAAACACTCCATCTGACGAAACTTCCCGTAATATTGCTAACAACTTACTTGAGTTCTTTGAACATGAAGCTAAAGTAGGTAGATTGCCAGAAAACTTACACCCATTACAATCTGGTATTGGTAACATTGCTAACGCAGTCGTAGAAGGTTTAGCTGACTCCAAGTTCAAGAACTTGACTGTTTGGACCGAAGTGTTACAAGATTCATTCTTGGACTTCTTTGAAAGTGGTTCATTAGACTTTGCCACAGCCACCTCCATTAGATTGACTGAAGCTGGTTTCGACAAGTTCTATGAAAACTGGGACACCTACTCAAAGAAATTATGTTTGAGATCTCAAGTTGTTTCTAACTCTCCAGAAATTATTAGAAGATTAGGTACCATTGCCATGAACACCCCAGTTGAAGTTGACATTTATGCCCATGCAAACTCTACTAACGTCATGGGTTCAAGAATGTTGAACGGTTTAGGTGGTTCCGCTGATTTCTTGAGAAACTCCAAGTTATCAGTTATGCATACTCCATCTGCTAGACCAACTAAGACTGACAAGACCGGTGTTTCATGTATTGTTCCATTCGCTACTCATGTTGATCAAACCGAACACGATTTAGATATTGTTGTCACCGATCAAGGTTTAGCTGATTTAAGAGGTTTATCTCCAAAGGAAAGAGCCAGAGAAATTATTCAGAAGACTTCTCACCCTGACTACAAAGATCAATTGATCGATTACCTCGACAGAGCTACTTTCTATGCTGAAAAGAGTAAGTGCTTGCATGAACCTCACATCTTACAAGATGCTTTCAAGATGCATCTCAACTTGCAAGAAAACGGAACCATGAAGTTAGATTCTTGGGATAAGAAGTTTTAGATCATAATATTTAGATCCCAATCGATTTATATATATAAAAGTCGAATGAATATATGAGTTTGTCGATTATCATCTTATTGTAGCTAATTGTAATATTGTAATTCTTTCAGCTTCATAGGATCGAATGGAGAGATTGACCTTATACTCGTCGATACAGTCACGTGACACAAATGACCGCATAATTTTTTTTGAGCTGAATTTTTCCAGAAGCAATTGGAAAAACTACCGATTTAACAGTTCTTTCGTCATATATAAGAGTTCGTATATCCTGATAGCCTAGAATAGTAATCGTTTAGGGATTTGAAGTAAACAGGTTTGAAAACATGGGGAAGTTTAATTTATATCCATCGATAAGCAATAATATTAAACGTACAGTTTTAAACTCAATAAAGCCAAAATCAGTTTCGAGGTTAGGCGTATTCCAGTCTGTACAATCAAAACTTCAAACGAGGGCGTTTCATTCGTCTCGTAATGTGTTGATCAACTTTGACCCTTACCTGACGTTGGGAGTTGAAAAATCTGCTTCAGCTAAAGACATCAAGAAGGCATATTATCAATTGGTCAAAAAGTATCATCCGGATGTTAATAAAGAGAAAGATGCTGAAAAACGGTTCCACAAGATCCAAGAGTCATACGAGTTATTGAGTGACAAAGAAAAGAGATCTCAATACGATCAGTTCGGTGCAGCAGCGTTTGATTCGAACGGTAATGCAAATCCATTTGCAGGTGGTAATCCATTTGGCGGGTCTCATGGTGGTAATCCATTTGGAGGAGGTGCTGGCGGTAACCCTTTCGGTGGCATGGGATTTGACTTCGAGGATTTATTTAAACAAGCATTCAATGGTGGTGCTGGCGGTAGAGGTGGTGGTGGCCAATTCGTGACGGAACATGTCGGAGACAATATAGAAGTCTTGAAGACGATAGGATTCAAAGAATCCATATTCGGGACAAAGGTGGAAATAAACTATAAGGCTGTCGATTCATGTAATACGTGTAAGGGTAGTGGTATGAAGAAGGGTAAAAAGAAGACTACTTGTTCTACATGTCACGGTACGGGACAGAGTACCCATATTTTAGGTGGGTTCCACATGTCATCAACTTGTAACTCATGTCATGGGACTGGTGTGACTATTCCTTCTAGCGATCAATGTACTAGCTGCAAAGGTAATGGGGTCGAGGAAGTTCCAAAATCTACTTCGGTTGATTTGCCATGTGGTATCGCCGACGGTACTAGATTAAGAATTCCAGGCGCCGGTGATGCCCCTTTCATTACAAAGGATCCTTACAACCAAACTAGAAACGGTGATTTGATTATCAGAGTCCACGTTTCTAAGGATCCCGTTTTCACCAGAAGTAATAATAAGATTGTTTTAACTCAAGACATTATTATGACTACTGCCGCGTTAGGTGGTGAAATTGTAGTTCCAACGATAGATGGACAAAGCATTAAATTGAAGTTGAGACCTGGTGTTCAAAATGGTAAAACTTTAACTATTCCAGAGAAAGGTGTACCAATAAACAGAAATATTCAAAACAGAGGTGATATGGAAGTTAAAATAAATGTTAAGACATTGATCCCAGAAACCCCTATACAAACTGCTCTCTTGGAAGCCTTAGCTGATGCTTTTGATGACAAAAATGCTAAGAGAACGGACGCACACTGGAAGTTAGACTTAAGCGAAGACGAAAAGGACGTTAATGAAACTTTTGATGAGAAAGACTTACATCCTTCGAAGTTGAATAGAATTGGCAAATTCTTGGGAAAATTTTTCAACATGAAGGATGAAGACAAGAAATGATTATAAATAGGTAGCATTAATATGATTGTATATAGTATTTTAAGTATTATTTGTTAAATAGATAAATCATTTGTTCTACACGTCAAATCAAGTAGGCCAGAGACTTCAGCATAGAGCAAGTAACAACTAAAACATTTCACCTATACTCTAAGCCTAAACACACATGATCTATATTCCAGTGTCCGTGTTTTGCTGGCTATTTCCGAATTCTACGCAAATTTCAATATTTCAATTAGACCTGCAAAAATTACGAATAGAGGAAGTTAAATCTCGACAGAAGCTTTAGATATCGCCGTAAGTACATGTAGCCTATTATACTCTTCTTGTTCTATACGCTATAGTTTCATATTTATTAATTTCATTTTGAAATACACGTATTGCTGCAATGAAAAGTGCCTTATCTGCTATTTTATTAAATCGTATGGGAGATACTTTATTTGTTATTTGTATTGGTACTATGTTATCTTACTTCCATGCTGTTGATTTTGAAACTATAGAATTAATAACTCCTCATACAGATACTTATATATTAAATTTATAATGTTATTAATAGCAGCAACAGCTAAAAGTGCTCAATTAGGATTACATGGTTGATTATTATCTGCTATGGAGGGTTGGGCAAAAAGGGCCCTCTTTAAATTTCACAAATTCATTTAATCAATGATTAGCAGGTTTAATAGATGGAGATGGTTGTTTTGGAATTACTCAAAATAAATATACTAATTGTGAAATAACAGTAGCGTTAGAAGATGAAAAAACATTACGTATTATTCAAAATAAATTTGGTGGATCAATAAAATTAAGATCTGAATAAACTAGACGCGAAACCGATATCAAAATCGCGTCGATTCACTTAGTTGAAGATCCGTGTCGCTGGGACCAGACCTTCTTCGACATATAAAATTTATTTAGAACGAACAGAAGCAAGAAGTTTTACCTTATTGGTGCAAGAGACGTCCGTACGTGAATAGATATTTCATCGAAAATGCCTTTTCAACATGTGCGTCTTCTTACCGATCATTGTTCTACTTCATTTCAGGTGTTCATTAATTCATTCCTTACATGCAAACAATAAAAGTGCGTAAATAAAATCGTGTTTTATCTAGATTACAAGGTTTTTTTTTAATTAGTTAGACCTTCAATTACATATTCAATCAATTCTTATATCACCAAACTCCTTGACATTTGGGGTCATATTCGTAGTTCTTTGCAATTCTTATAGAGTATATTCGAATTAGGTTGAGCAAAACCACTATACTTGCTAGTTGGACATCCAGACCATGTCATTCGCTACAAAATCAAAAGACCTACCTGCATTACCAATTGTTATAGAAAATGACAACCTCGAAGACATAGATATAGACACAGGTAAGATGAACCAAAGAGAAATTGTTAAATATCCTAATCCATATTTTCATAGCAATCCAAGTCAGTATTCCAAGGAGAATTTGTCAATGATGTCGTCCAAGATTTCGTTGACAAACTCACATGTACCACCAATACCGAAGAATAAAGGTCCGATGACGCGTCCAAGAAGTGGCAGTTCTAATAAACCAAGGCCGAAACTGTCTACGTCCCAATACGTTGTACAACTTGATAAGACTCCACTGAACTTAACACCCTCACAAAGGCTTAAACTCCGTAAGCTTCAACTCAATAATAGCATATCCAATTTTAACTTGCCTCCGAAGGATAGTGGTAAACGATTCATAGACGAAGAAAGTGACGATGACGAAGAAATAGGCGAATATGATTGTGTTTTCAATGTTCCATTTTCCCAGCCCTTGTCATCGTTAGCTCAAAGAGAAAAGGTTATATCTGACAATAATGATAGAAAATCCTTGGCCACTGATTCTACCAGGTCATCATCAATATTGAGTCATGATAGTTTTGCTGAAACTTCATCTATTGTAAGTTGCAATTGTGATGATAATTTAACTGGTAAGAAACCTTCGAATTATTATGATATCTCAAGAATAAATAAGAGTCTTAATACACTAAGTATGGATGACCTAAACATATCAAAAGATGCACAGGATTTGTCGTTGTTATTTAGTAGAAATGAATCTGTTCAAATAAATGAAGAAAGTCGACAAAAAAGGAAAATGTTAAATAATTTTAAGAGAATACCGAAATCTATGCCTTCAACTCCAATTAAAGGTTCATTTTCTGATTTATCTATTTCCAACAATAATGGATCGTCGGAATATCAACTGCAATCTAATCCGAGAACTTTGAATCATAGATCAATATCTCAATCTGTGATTCCCATGTCTACCAAGGAGAGGAAACACCAGAGTGCACCATCTAAATACTATACTTTTACAAGACCCACTTGGCTACCACCAAAACCATCATATGATAGAATAAAACATCATAAAGAGTCGGAAGATATAATATACCGTGCTCTTCAGAAAGAAGCGGAAGAGAGAAATAATAAACTAAATCAGTTGGAAAAGATTAAAAAGTTGAGAAAGAAAGACGTAGAAGTCTGGGAAACTTTGAATTTTGGAGACGGTAAAATACTGGGTGAAAAGAAAAAAAGCAGAAAAGTCCAAGAAATGTACTGGAGGGGTCTACTGGAAAATATCAGATCCAGGATATGGCAGAAGCAAATTGGTAATGCCTTAAACTTGGATGAAAAATATTGTGACATTTTCTTTGATAAATATGATTCCATTTTTATTAAAAAGGTCAATCAACTTGATTCTTTGTTAAGAAATAATGCTGAATGTGTGGTTGCATTAGAACAACACGTTGAAAATTCGGGCAACGAATTGTATAGTGGAATTAAGAGTGCTGAGATAAATTCGAATAAACATATTAATATATTTTTAAAAGCAAATCAAAATATGCTTTCCGTGAAGACCTTATATGACAGAATAAACCATGATTTGTTAGATACTTATCCTGATATTAATGCTTTCCAAAGCAATGAAGTTTTGCGGGCGTTGACTAGAACAATCGTTAGTTTCGTCATTTATTTAAATGAAACCAGAGAGAAAATTGATATTAATGAACAAGCATTTAGCCAATTAAATACAAATTATTATTTTGGTGGGATGAATACATTAGCGGCATTATTATATTATCACAATCGAAGTTCATATGCAACTTTCATTGGTTTAGTTAATATTTATGAAAGGAAGGTACCAAATTTATTGCTTTGTTATAAGTCTCAGACTGATAGAGTCAACAAACAGATGTACGGCAGACTCTTATGTGAAAGTTTTATGGACATATTTGAATCCTCATTTAAAAAGAATTTGATTCGATTATACACACATTTCAATGTTATAGGCTTGAAATCTTTTGAGTTTATTCCTGATATTCTAGCTGGATTATTCTCTAATTTATTTAATTTTGAGTTGAGTTGTCAAATAATGGATATTTATGTATTCGAAGATACCCCATTTTTGGTGAGATGTCTTTTGGCGCTACTCAAGCAAATATCCTTTAAGTTATTTGGTACTAAGCAAGAAGTGTTGAATCTTTTGGGAGAGAAACATAGAGAAGAGAATAATAATGGGGGATCCAAACAAGACACAAGTAGATACTTGAATGTTGGGTACGATTATCAATTCGTAAAGACCATCGAAGAAATGGTACTTTGAACGTGTACATTAGATCAATAATTTTTAGTTCTTTTAGTAATTAGTAGATATACATTATAATTTATACAAAAGAATATTAACTTAGATTGTTGAAATTAGATTTTTAATGAGATTCAGTATGTATGAACTTTTGCCGTCGTCTATTTTTTGGCGTCATTGAGTACTTCTAAAAGCCTTTGTCCATCGTCCGCAGTTTTGACCTTTAAAATATATGTCTCAATAGATTTGTCAGTTGGATTAACGGTTGGAACTCTGACCATCGAGCCATTGCCAATTGTTGTGTAGGTCATGTCCTTGTTAACTAGCGTATTTAATAAAATTCTCAATCCACCTTCAGCTCTAACAACTATTCTTGACTTTCCTGTAGCCTTGTTTTTTAAAACTTTCAAATCACCCAAACCCCTAGAAGTATAAGGATTTTCTGAATTTGATGGGTCAAATAACATTAATTTTGTACGCTTAGTGTAAAGTGCTTCTTCATCTTCTTCACCAGTTTGGTTATTTAATTTTTCGGAAGATAATTGTGCAACGGCTTTGAAATCACCACCTGTATCCTCTTCTGAAGGATCAGCTCCTTGCTGTGTCTCTGGAGTTGCAGAATTTGATTCGGCTTCGTTTTTATTATTATTAGCATTGAAGGTGAAGGATGGAGTTGAATTGTTGTTCCCAAATAATGGAGTAGCAGACTTCGAAGAACCAAAGGAAAACGCAGGTTTTTCAGATAATGTTTGAGATGGTGGGTTAAATGAAAATTGGAGAGACGATTTTGGTTTTTCTTCTTCTTTTGTATCTTTATTTTCCGACCCAAAGGAGAATAGCTTTGGGGTGGAATCTGAAGTCGAACTTCCAGAAAACATGCCCCTGTTCTCATTATTGGTAGCAGAGCCGAAAGAGAAGGCGGGTTTCGATTCATCTGTCTTCTGGGTAGAAGAGGCGAAAGAGAAAGCCGGCTTGGGTTCGTCCTTTTTGTCAGTAGCCGACGCACCAAAAGATAATGTTGGCTTTGGCTCGTCTTTCTTTTCAGTAGTAGAAGTACCAAAGGAGAATCCAGGCTTTGATTCATCTTTCTTTTCAGCAGATACACCAAATGTGAAAGCCGGCTTTGATTCATCCTTCTTTTCAGTAGTTGAAGCACCAAAGGATGAGGCGCCAAATGAGAATGCAGGCTTTGGTTCATCTTTCTTTTCAGAACCACCAAAAGAAAATGCAGGCTTTGGTTCATCTTTCTTTTCAGAACCACCAAAAGAAAATGCTGGTTTTGGCTCGTCTTTCTTTTCAGCAGCAGAAACACCAAAGGAGAAAGCGGGCTTTGGTTCGTCCTTCTTTCCAGCAGTTGAAGAACCAAAGGAGAATGCTTGTTTAGAGTCAGGCGTGCTGTTATTAGATTCATTGTTTGTAGCAGATTTTGCCCCATCTAACTTGAAAACATTATCTTTGATAGGTTTGTTGAAATTGAACGTAGGCCCCTTGATTTCAACTTCTGATTCAGAATCGGAGTCAGAATCAACTTTCTTCGCAGGTTTTGGACCAAAGCTAAACGGGGAATTCTTAGCGGTAGGCTTTGCATTTAATGTGAATTTTGGACCCTCTACTTTAATTTCATCTTCGGAGTCAGAACTCGAATCAGATTCAGGCTTAGTCTCAACCGCTGGCTGGGGCTTTGAAACAGGCGTAGGTTGATCCCCTGACTTCGTGGCATTTCCAAACAACGATTGCGACGATTTTGATTCGAGTACTGGCCTGTTGTCTGGTATCCTGATTTCTCCCCGTTCTATCTTGTCGTAGTATTCGATGTATTTCTTCGCAGCCTCCGTAAACTTTGCCACATGCCCCTCCTTGTGGTTCTTATTCAACATCGCAACAAACTGCGTATTCAACGCCTTGATTTTCTCGTTTTTGTCGTCTGATGTCTCCGAAGACTGACCACTACTCCCAAACGTGAACGGCTTCACACCCGGCTGCTCTGCACCCTTCAACCCATCTTGTGCCGTCGCATTTCCAAACAACCCACTGTTCCCGGTCGCACTCGATCCAAACGACGGTGCTGGCGACGCAGAACTCGCAACTGACGATCCTGGCGTTCTTCCCCTAGGTTTAAGAATTTTTCTCTTCGCCAACACGCTAGCAGATGCCAGCTTTATTGACTTCGGTTCATCGTCTGACTCGTGGTCTAAATGATTCTCTCTAGTAATCTGTTCACTTGCTCCTCTCTTCGACATCTGGAGTGTATATATGACTTGGATCACTGGCTACTTATTCCTTCCTTACGCTATTAGGTGACGGCTATTATCACAAGTATCGTGATATCTATAGAGGGACGTGCAAAACTCATTTTCAACCATCATCAGGGCAAAAGACCTAAATCCGAAATTTTCACGTGAAATGAAAAAAAGACAGTCACATTGGATCAGCTGACTAAAAATGAAAAATCGGAATAACATGTCACAAAACCATCCGACGATTCGATAGTCACATGATCCGATTTTCTTTTCTCCCAATTGCCCGAATCCCATTCCACTAAATAACTAGATGAAAAAATTTACCTAGTGATTTTTTATACGTTTTTAGTATAGTAAGAATCATTAATCAAGTAAGTTATAAATCACTACTAGAATGCAGAAAAGTATTGGGAATACTACTAGAATACCAGTCAGAACACCAGTTATATAGAAATGAGGATGGAGGACGAAAAAGTGGGTACTAATTAAGTGAAAAATTTAATTGACTGGGTTGAGCAAAAATGAAAGATAATTTTTAATTTGGGATAGACGTAGAATAGAGAAGACAGATACAAGAAGGAGAATAGTAGAGATAAGAAGAAGTGGAATGAAGATAGAGGGACTGGCGAAAGGCCGTGGTGGACATGAAGTTGGGATTACTAGTAGTAGACGACAGATACTGGATGTGGATGTGGATGAGGACAATGGTACTAACAATATATCTAGAATGGCTCCAAAGATGCAACAGACTAAGGCTGCGAAAGCAGCCGCCGCTTTAGCTGGTGGTAAGAAAGGTAAGAAGAAGTGGAATAAGGGTAAGGTTAAGGATAAGGCTCAACACGTTGTTCTCTTAGACCAAGACAAATACGACAGAATTATGAAGGATGTCCCAACCTACAAGTACGTTTCTGTCTCCGTTTTAGTTGATAGATTAAAGATTGGTGGTTCTGTTGCTAGAGTTGCTTTAAGACAATTAGAAAGAGATGGTATCATCACTCCAGTCGTCAAACACTCTAAACAAGCTATCTACACTCGTGCTGAATAAATTCATTTGCCATGAATGCTAAAAGATTACATATTTCTTGGTTATAAAGTTTTATTTTAATGGTTTCCCTTTTTCACATTAGGTTTAGTTAATGAATTATTCAAATGTATATTCTATTACGTCGTAAAAACTTGTAGTAACCGTGTGGCGTGAGAACTGCCGTTAAAGACCATATAGTAGCGTGCTATACCAGTAGAACTTACCCGTCAGTTTGAAAAGGTTGATTTGGTACGCCTGTGATAGGTCTCTCCTACTTCAGTCTGCGCAATATCTCATCAAATCAAATATCAAAGGTTTAGCTACATATGGGTAAACATTAGTCCAGTATGATATTACCATCATGTACGAGACTTATAAAGTTTGGGAGAGTATGTGGTAGACTACAGACCCCATATTCTTTGTCGTTCTTGGATCGAACCTTCTTCACTTTACCGTCTTTTTCATCCGGTTCAGAACCTAATTTACAAACTTACAAAGTAAGCAAAAGGGTCAATGTAACCCCCGAGCAAATGTTCAACGTGGTTTCGAATGTATCGAAATATCATGAGTTTGTTCCTTTTGTTGAAAAATCTTCTATAACCAAGAAAGATCCTAAATCTGATTTACCAGTCGAAGGGGTTTTAAGGGTTGGCTGGCAACAATTTGATGAAGAGTTTACCAGTAAAATACATTGTGTTCTAAATAAGAAAGTTGCTGTGAAATCATTGACTATACTGTTATTTAATAGTTTAAACACAGAATGGACTTTCAAAGAAATAAAAAGTTCTCATATAAAAGAGCCTAGCTGTGAAGTGGAATTAAATTTGAAGTACAGCTTTAAAAACCCCTTATATAATGCTGTTAGTTCAATGTTTTCGGACCAAGTTACTAAAATCATGATTAAAGCATTTGAACAACGAGCCATAGAATCAAAATTGAAGGATAAATTCAAAACTCGAGATGTCAAGTTTAATACAAATTAATGATTCATAATTATAGAATACCATGCATCGAATATTTATTATTTTACATCTATTAATACTACACAGCCCTTACGAAATTTGTTATTGTACATTCTTAATAGTACTTTTCCTTAATGCAAACGAAATAATAACCACCCTATTGTAAACCCTAGCCTATTTAAAAATGTAAAAATAGCTAACAAGAAAAATCGAAAAATGAAACTTTTAAAAGTGTAATAAATAATTGAAAGAAATAACATTACTGAAATCACCATAACTACTAAACTTCTTTTGGAATTAATCCATGCGAGCCCACCAAATATTCTTTAAGAAAGTGATTTGGTAGTCTCGTCAATGCAACATCGGGCAACGTAAATGCACCATCTTTGAAAGAAAGACTTCTCTTTCTAGAGCTTTGAGTATTTGTGTATGATGTAGATATGGCCTGGGATCCTAAACTAGCAAGGCTCGAGGAACTCTCCGAGTTAGAATTCGCATATTTGATATTTCGTAAATATGCAAAACTAATTGGAGAAAGCGTAGTAGGCTTGACGACAGATCTATTAACCCAGACATCTTCTGCAGTTAGTGGCTTAATACATCTGAGACAGTTACGATAATATTTTCTTTGACTTTGGGGCTTGTCCAATGAAGGATACCATTTATAGTTATTGCTCGAGGATGAAACTGAACTTGGTAACGTAAAACGTCTAGGCATCGACATCAGACGTTCTCTATTACGTTGGCTATCTTCATTATCTTCATTATCTTCATTATCATTATTCTCATTGAAGTCTGCTATATTACAATCAAACTCTTCATCATCTTCGTCATCAGATGCATGGAGATCGCTCAAGTTCTGGATATCATCTTCATAATCATCATCTCGTAATGTATTAACGTGACTCCTATTATTCTGAGTTCCTCGGTACTCGTTTAGAGTATAAAGGTTCTCGCTATCGTCGTCATCATCATCATCGCCGATGTTTGAAATATTAAATGTTGGAAGTGAAGGTGAGCGTGCCCTTTGTAGATTGGCATTGGAGATTGACGTGAGAGAGTTCTTATCATCAGACTTCGATAAATCAACACTCTTTGTACGCGACAGGAATTTAGATTTGAATCTCAAAACCTTGTCTTTTAATTTACTAGGTTCGCCATTAGAAGCATTAAATTGACTCAGGAACGAGTCATTTCTTGATGCAAATGAATTTTGAGAGTTCCTTCTGCTTCTACTTCTGCTTCTTCTTCTCCGTCTTCTAGGAAGTGTCCTTTCCCTCGGTAATTCTCTTTGCAGAATATCTAGGGAAACATCCCTACCACTGCAGAATGCAGCATGCCAGTCAATAAGATCTTGTGTCATCGAAAAGTTAAGTAAAAGCTGTTCACTTTCAATCCTAACTCTTAAAACATTAGGTCTCTTCTTGTAGTCAGTTGCCAATCCCAATCTAGCATGTTGTAAAGAATATGATCTGAGTAATCTCTTATTCTTTGATCTAGATTTACTTGTCAAACTAGAAAACCCAGAACTACTTGTATTTGGAGATTCGTCGTCTAACGAATTAAGCAAGCCTAATCGCTGAGTATATTTGAAAAATTGTAAGTCGGCACTCGAGGTTAACTCCGAATTAATACAAGTCATCTCCTCTTCCTCAGCATCGTTAAATATTCTTTCTCTTGGTGTTACTGACGGTTTGAAAGATAAGACGTGATTCTCCACGGGCCCCGGGATTGCGTAGAAATTTAATTGTGTTGAGTTTAATTCTATAATGACGTTTTTCCAGGATCTGGTAGGACTGGGTTCGTATGGCGATAACCATTCTATCTTACGGCAAACCACTCCTATTTTGTATACGCTCGGGGTATACGGCGGTAAAATATTATCCTCCACTACATCAATAGGTGCTAGGAGGGGGAATTTGGGACATCCTCCAGGCGGTAAAAGATTATAGTTTGGTGGGAGCACTGGCGAAGGCTCTATGAACAGCAAAAATTCGTCCTGGCGGGATTCGACAAATGGCGTCGGTTTGGGCGCTATGATTTCGTTTTGGCCCGAAGCGGAACATTCAATGATAGGAGCTGGCTTGCATACTAAACCACAACTCGAATATGCCATACAACTGGGAGTGGGCGGCGTCGACGACTCTTGTCTTCTTTCTCGACGGTTCTCTTCCAACGACAAGTCGCTCAACGAGACACTAGACACTTCCTCATCGTCAAACCCCGATTCACTCGATCTTCTAATATATGTGTCGTTCGATTCCCCTGAATCCGCTTTTGATATCATTAACTCCTTATGGCACTCACCCGCCGTGTGTATTTGTAAACTTGTATTACTAGGGATTCCTCTAAGCATACTTTAGATCATTAATTCTATTTTCCGTAGCTCCTATTCCTTGTATTAAAATAGCTCCTAATTCTTGACTAAAGGTCGACTTCGAACAAAAATCAACAACAAAATACTTTTGCTGTGGTATAAATATAAGCTTAATTAAAATACTTTATTTTCTAAGAAATACATATATAGAAATAACTTTTTAAGAACTCGGTAGATAAGAAGAAGATCAGTCGTCAGATGTAGTTTTTAAAATTGCGGCTAAATCAAAATTCCGGTAATATGGAACCGCAAATAATGGATACCCCTAAAAGGAATCAAATTCTATTGTACCGAGCCCTGCCGTTGTTATTCGATGATTTGCCCAAGAACAATAACAAGTAAAGACAATACAGGATAGTTTAAGATACAGATGATGGTATTGTAGTTGCTCGAAGCACAAACAGGAGATGATTCAAGTTATATTTGGCGCAACAGCAACTATATCCAAACCATTTAACGTTAGGGTCGAGCCAAAAAATCTACGTGCCAGGCCTGTTTGTAGCTGGTGAGTCAAGTATGATTTGTATAGGAGGTATTCTTGGCCCGTACACCTACAGGAGGGTACGGTGGGTGGTTTCACGTTATGCTTGAAGTAGTCATGTAGGCGCATTAGCGGACGAGTAGTATGCGACATGATTAAGTAACGCGGAATTGAGTCGAGATGGGGGTGGTGGGAGAATCGGGATAGGACGGTACAAACCAACTCGAAGTAAAACTCCTCCGATGACTTGATGGATGTCGGATCGACATATGAATGAATTTTCTTATTGGTGGTTATGAAGTCATTTATGGAGGCCTCAGCCGTGGTGCATTCAGTGCATTTGCAAGAAGTATTGTCCTTTTGGGCCCTGTCCCATACGTGAACTGACAGGAAATAATCGGGAAGGCATATATTGTGGATACCGAGGATCATGCTTGCAAGCAAGTCATTTTGGTTTATGAACGCTGATACCATATTATTAGATATAGGGCTGTCGAAATAGCTAAAATACAGATACGGGTGGAGTTCTGCATTAGTATCTAGCACCAACGTCTGGAGGGTTTCAAAGCGGGCCAGAAATAGATGCACGAGCTGGTGTTTGAAAATGTAGAAGCTGCATGGGTTTATCACTATCGATTGTCCGATTCTGGTGATGGACAATCGAGATAAATGTATCAAGACACTTACAGACCCATGAAACCCGCCGAAAAATCTTACGAGACAATTACACCCTGTATTAATAGACTCGTCGAAGGGTACACTTTGCCCCGGGGGAGGACACGAAATGTGGTTGCAGCCGATTTTTAGCTCTAGGTTCTCCAAGTTTTCTAATTTGAATAGACCCTTAATGACAGAGAAGTCTAGTTGTCTCTCTCTTGTTGAATCATACTCGTGACTGAAGTCGAACCGACTTCTGCCATTTAGTTGGCCATGTAGATGGCTAATTTGTAGTTCTTTAACTTGGAATACATTATCACCAAGGTCGTCTTTCATACCTTGTAGGAAATTCAACCCCAAGTGATGAACTGAACCGATATGCAACCTGGTGAGCTTCTGGAATAATCCCAATGCTTTTTCCTTATCATTCACGCCCAAATCAAGACTTTTGATTTCGGTTAAAATAAACGATATAGCGGTGACGTGGGTTGTTTCGATATCAATATATTTTAGAATATCGTTTAAATCCTGTAAATGGCGTAGT